GTTGCCACACCAAAATGGAAGTCTAACCATCTGACCATTATCTTTACCCGCTTATTCCTTTTTGGGTCACAGGGGTCAATGGTTCCCATGTCCAGCCACCACTGTGCAAGAGGCGGGGTACACCCTGGAGAGGTTGCAAGTTCATCACAGGGACACAAACGAGACAAACAACCATTCAATCTCTCTTTCCACCGTGCTGCCCCAAAATGGAAGTCACCTTCCTTATTTTTTATATAATCCAGCTCAAAAGACTGATGAACATTTATGGCAGCAGTCATCTTGGATCTGGATGTGGCACCCCAAGTTTCGAAAAGAACCTTTCTTACAGCTAGCTGTAGTCACACACCAAAATGCAAGTCGGTACCTCATCAAGTTACCATGCTCACAACATGCACTGACATAGATGGATGGAAGGTATTTCAATTCCCCCTCTTTGCTCCACAACAGGGGACAAAAATGGTTCAGACAAGTCCATTTTACAAATAATAAGGTTACATGTTGTAGAAACTGAGTCATACACAACTCATTACCTGACCAAACGGCTTACACCCCATCATTTCATAACATATGATGAACTTAATTTAAAACTATGGATAGAATGGCAGCAGGCTTCAAAAACATTAGGCCTTTAAAGTTTAAACATCCTCATTTTCTGTTTTTGATGTTGATACTGTATGTATAGATTTCCCTCATGTTACCTCTTGGTAATTTGCCTGCAGCTCTGTTGTAGCTGCGATTGTCCAACAATGTTTCTGAGAACATGAAGCAGTTCTATGAAAGCTGCAGGTTCACGTGTCTCTGATATCATGATGCAGGACATGTGAAACCATGACATTAACACTTTCACAGGAATGCACTTTGAGATTAATTTCAGTCACTGTAGATGATATATTCAAGATGACATTACAGCAGTTGTCAGATTCAGTAATTAGTGCGTGTAAGCTGACAGCAACATGGAAACATGATGTGCAATTTGTTGTGTGCTAAAACCTTCATTTACTCCAGCAAAGATGGTTTCTTCAAATTTCATCAACATTTTGAAACAAGTAATGGAAACTTGATAGATAGCATACACTTAAGACCTCACTGTTCAAATGCTACCAGAGAGTTGTACTAGTTGGTAAAAATAAGCAACACAACCCTTGAGTTTGTATTTTTCCATTGTCTTGGGGGACTGGTGTTGATTACCAGAGGTCATCGGGCGAGAGGCAGGATACACCTTGTACAAGCCACCAGTGGCAGCTGTGGATGAGTGGTTAGAGCAGTCGTCCTCCAGTGCAAGAGTTGGGGGTTCAAATCCAGCAGCAGTCACATGTCAAAGTGTCCCTGGGCAAGACACTGAACCCCTCATTGCCTCTGATATGTGTCCCATCAGTGTATGAATGTGATCTAAAGCACTCATTAATCTTTGTATAGATATTGTAGAGTGCTGTATGAATGGGTAAAGGAGGGCACAGATTAGTGTAAAGCGCTTTGAGTATCTTGATGTGATAGAAAAGCGCTAAATAAGTACAGTCCATTTAACATTTACCAGTGCATTTCAAGATTTCAGATAGAGAGGAAACTATTCACATACACTCAAACCTAGTGACAACGTATTTGCATGTTAAACTAACATGTGTTTAGTTTGGAGTCAGTGGGAGGGAACTGTTGTCCTCTGTTGCGAAATGAATGTCCATCCGTCTGTTTGTCTTGTGACCATGATAACTTCAAAAATAACTGAGGTACTGACTCCCAATTTGTTGTTTAACTACATTTAAGTGTAAGAAAGTTTCCATTCAGAACTGGGATTGCCAAATCAAAATCCAAGATGGCTGCTGCCATGCATATTGTATACATGAAACTTGTGAGCTTAATAGCTTTTTTTAATATAGTAACAAACGCTCCTCCATGTGGCATTTAGGTATGGAAGAGATCACTAAAAAATTGACACCCAAGACGGCCATGCTTTTGGCACAGTGGACCACAGCATTTTATTGTCACATCTACAGCACCAAGTAGGTATCGGTGGGACTGCTCTGGAGTGGTTAGGGTCCTAT